CCCCAAAACCCCAAAACCCCAAAACCCCAAAACCCCTGTACTATGCTAAAGATTGAGAGCGATGAATTGTATTACGATAAATATTTGGTAAATGGTGTTATGTCTGCGCCTGCCACTAAGTTCTTCTTTAAGTAACTCTTTGCTTTCTTAGCAATCATTATCCATTCGTCTTTACTGCTGCTGTAGAAGTTTTCGAGAATGAGGATTGAGAGAATGGTGATCCAGACTTCGATCATTTTAGAGCTGTCTTTGAGTAAGTTTTCTAATTCCTCAGGGATGTCATTGTCAAGTAAATTTTGATACTTTTCTGGAAGTTGTATAAAGTGTCCATCTAATTCTTGGTATTCAATTACTTTTTCATAAGCTTTAGTCTATATAAAATAAATAAGTTACATTTCTTGACATAAGTCTAAACATTTCTGAGGAAATTCCGAAATTGAATTTTGCAAATGTTTTGCTGCTTACCTTAATTTTCACAATGTCTGATTTCGTAGATTTTCCTTCCTCAAAATCATTTTCATTGCTTCATTTCTTAAAGAAGCCATAGCTGATGTTTGAATTTGAAGATTTCTTAAACTTGTAGCTAAATGAATAAAAATGAAATATTTTACCTAGATGCTGGTTTCATTGAATTCGTTCAAGATTTTTTCTTTAAAGATCTAGGTACTAAAATTGCTTGTTTCGTCATCCATGATTCCTCAATTATTGAGTGAGGTTCACCTCTATTTTGGAGAGCTGGCAGTTTTCAAGATTTCTTTAGCATGCTTGATAATCTTCTTGTCTTAGAAGAAGGCTTTTGAGTATTGATCATTTTCCTAATAGGGATCTCGATCTTCTTGATCTCTTCTCCTGACTTGTCTTTGTTCTTAATCTTACCGAAGAATGCTGTTTCCTGACTCAGCACTGAGTACTTCAGAGAATAATACAGACACAGCTCCGAGACGTCTGCTCCTCCCACAGTTTCGTCTACACATGAGTCAAGGACTTACCTTCAGCAGCGGTGGCATGCGTCTTGAGCCTGTTCAGGTGGGTGATGTTCTCTTTGGCAGCAAGCTTGAACACTGAGTCATCTTCTCCGTCGTCGATGATGGCTTCTGGGTCGACGTTGAGGGTGAAGTCTAATCTTTGTTGGTCCAAGGTGTTGAGGAATGAAAGAGTAAGTTCTCCTTCGATGAGAGTATCCTTTGATAGCACAGCATAGCAGTCTAAGATTTCTGTATGAAAGTGTTATGACAAGTCATGGCTGAGGAAGAGCTGGTGAATACATGTTTAATGGTTCTTGAAATTATAATCTATCAGAATTTTTTTAAAGAAATACACATTCGACCAACTTTCAAATCGATCCTGATTATCGGATCTGATAGATCTACTAAATTAGATTCTTTGTTCTAAAATATGAAACATTTACCTTCTTCATATACAAATCCCAACATTGGTTTTCTGGGTACTTGAAAATTAACAGCATGCTCGTTGTATCCCCAGTCCATCTGGATATCTGTCAGTGCAGGCTTTGATGCTTGGCTCAATGTTGATATAATTTTGGCTTTCAGTTTCTTGTCATTGTCTTCTATCATTTCTGAAGTTCCAAGTCCAGCCCTGGATATCTCATTCACAAGGTACTTCGAAGCGCCGCTGCCAAACCCAAATGAGTGAACTCTTGCAGAATGGTTGTTCTCTTTGACAATCTTCATGACAGGATCTGTATCTTTGATGGCTCCATCAGTCAGAATGAACACGTTTCTGGGATACTTCGGATCATCAGGAGTTCTGAACACATACTTCAAAGGCTCAAGCAATTGAGTCCCTTTTAAGTTTGGAGTCATGCTTGCAATCTCAACCAGAGCTTTCTCCAATGAATCTTTGGTGTATTGGACACTTCCATCTTTGTGCATGACTCGAAGAAAAGACCCAAACCCAATAATATTGAACTTGGAGTCGGCAGGAAGACTTTTCAGAAACAGCTTCAGAGCATCTTTGGCAAGAATGAGTCGTCCTTTGTTTTTCATTGACCCACTTCTGTCAAGAAGGAAAATGTACTCGCCACTTGCGATTTCAGGATCATCTTTATTGTCGACTTTAGTGAGGGCTTCAGCAGCACCTGTGGGATCTTCAAGTTCTTTTACTTCTTCATTGGTATCTTCAACACTCTGAGCATGCGTATCTTCAGAAATTCTTGGAATGCATGTGATGTGAGCAACCACTTCGTCAGGATGCTTGGTAGATGCATGCAAAGTAATCTGAGGCTTTCTGATGGTTTCGGTTGCAAACGATACAACAATGTCAGCAGCTTTGACAGCTCCGCTCTGAGCTAACTCCAATGACACAGTTTTACCAGAGTTTGTGATCTTCTGGGCCATCCCTTTGTGACTAGTCATGAGGTCTGAAATTTTAGAGGATGACTCAACAAGTATGCTTGCTGAGAACTTGCCAGGGATATAGGCTCCTCTTCCTTTAGGGCCTTTGCCTGACCCTGGCTTGCTGTATCTTGGAATGAAGTTCAACGGAAACACAAACGAGTAGAATCCGTGCTTCGTAATGTCACATTTAGCAACCATTTCTACAGTGATCTTGACACTTTTTCCTGGTTGAAGGGCGCCCACAGCAAGCTCAAGCACTTCAGGGATGTTCTCGTCATAATTGATTTTGGCAGCTGTGTTACCAGCTGCAATGGCATCATCATATTTGTGTTTGGCTTCTTCTTTGGCCATGATGGTAGCATCGATTTCTTTGTCTCCAAGTTTAATGTGGACTCCTGTCACACCGAAATACGCATCAATGGGAAACCTGTACAGCACTTCTAGAGGAGCAGTCTCACTATTTGTGTAAATTTGAGAGTACTTGATGGTTGAGGTAGAGTTGAAGACTCTAGCATCAAGGTGAGAGCTCTTGAGAGGAATTTCTTTGTCAGTAAGTCCTGCATAAAGTCCACCAACATTGTTGATATACCAGTTTGGTCTTCTAATACAGTAACACTGGCATTTCTTATCTCTCTTCAAAATGGTGTAATAAGGAGCATGTGGCAGTTGCCCTCTTTCCAAATCTGAATTTTCAGATAAATACATTTATTTTCTAATATATTCTTTCAAGTTTCTGATTAAATATGGGGTTTTGGGGTTTTGGGGTTTTGGGGTTTTGGGGTTTTGGGG